ACTCTTAAGCATACGTGTACACATGTGCTTTTAATTAGGTGATTCTGTACCGCATACTACTTAGGGACATATTTGAACACCAACTACACATAATAGCCACTGTACTAAATTTGTATGATGTTCAGAGCTACTGATTTCCATGTTCTCCTCAGAGAAAGGACACTATGCACTCCATGAAGTTAAAGAAGCGACATCAACTAACAGATGTGCCAAGCCCTAAGAGAAAGCAGCTCAGAGTCTAGTCAAGGAGACATTCAAGTAAAGGATAACACGAGGGATAGGTGATGAGCCAACATTCTAGAAAGCTGTGGGATGCACGGGGCGGTGGGCACCTGGAGTGGAGACAGGAGAGGCAGGTGGGTTTGGGGGTGTAGGGGTGCTGTTCCTGATACAGATTAAGGCTGGTGAATGATGACATGACGGTTATCAGGGGTCTACTTGACTGGGCCACTGGATACCAGATGACCAGTTAAACATCACTCTGGGGGTCTCTGAGGATGTTTCTAGAGGAGGTTAGCATTTGAATCAGCGGACTGAATAAAGAAGAATGCCCCCCCTACCCCACAATGTGAGAGGGCACCATCCAATCTGTTGAGTGTGTGAGTAACAAAAAGGCCGGGGAAGGGCGAATTTGCTCTCTGTTGGCTGGGACATACATAGGGCTTCTCCCAAACTCAGTCCGGGATCGAAAGCATCAGCTTTCCTGATCCTCAGGCCTCCAGACTCAGACTGGAGCCATATCAACAGCTCTCCTGGGTCTCTGGCTGACATATGGCTGATGCTGGGACTTCTTAGTCTTCACAATCATGTGAGCCAATCCCTCACAATAAACCTCTTTCTACATGTAGATATGTATCTACATATCCTTTTGGTTCTGTTTCTCTGGAGAACCATAACACAGACGGCTCGACTCATAATGGGAACCAGTAGTTCTACACGGAACATGAAGGGCCAGGGAGAGAAGTGGTCAGGCCCAAGTACTCAGGAGTCAGGGCGTGAAGAGAAAAGTAGGCCACGCGGAGGAGTCTGGCTTCTAGCTTACCAGATGTGAAGTTGGGTGACATAACCTGACGTATGGTCTACAAAGACCTTCTGGCAGCTGGGTAGAGAGCAGCTTGTGTCACGGTGGCAGCAGGGATGGCAGAGTGACCCATTATCAAGCAGCATTAAGGAAGTTAAGTAGTATTAAGCACTAAGCTTAGGTGTAAGAGGGGTCAGAAATGACTTTGTACGCTTTGAGCTGGGATGATGGGGTGAAGGGTAATAGTAATCATTAATCAAATTTTTATAATAATATAGTTTAAGTGATCAAGAGTATTTTGAGGAGATCTACAAGGCCCTTATTATCCTCAGGTACCTTTTGCATAATGTAACTTAAATTATCATGATTGGAGATGTATTTTATAAGCTTCAAATTCTCTGAAAATTGGTCTGACAAGATCACTAATACTGCTCAAAAATCTGGTAGCTTTCTACTGGCAGTGTGGGACAAAGGACAGTTCCAGTGGGTCCTGCTTGTCAGTCTCCTTCAAAACAGGAGTCCAGCCTCAAGGCCTTGGCCCACATCCCAGGCACATGGAATGGCCTGCTAGTTCTCAAATGTAATGTGCTCTGTTCTCTTTAGCTAGAAGCGTCCTCTCTCCTGATAGCAGGCTGAGCTCATACTCATTTTTCAAGACCCAGTTCAAATATGACCTCCTTCAAGAAGTCTTCTCTGGGGGCCCCAGGTCTTTTCTCAGAGCTCTTATATTTTGAACCCCACGCACCATAGTTCTCATCATAGTTCTCATCATGCACTATAATGACTGGTCTGCTTCCTGAACTTATCCATGAGCTTCATGAGAATGAAGACCCCATCTCCCTCCTCCTACCCCCAGGGCTACTGACCTGCAGGCATGGAGCTGGTGGAGCTGAGCCGAGTGACTGCACGTTCCTTCTAGGCAGCCAGCATATTCAGTTATGAGCCTGGGATACATTCTAAGGAGGGAGCCATGGAGTTGTTGTACTAGACAGTCTCCCCTTCAGAAACTAAGTGTCTCATTCTGTGTTCAAATTACCTCATCAAAATGACAAATCACCTCGTAGCACAGATCTCTGGGTTATCCTCAGAGTCAAAAGCGTATATGTTAATTCTGTGAAGAGCAAGCAAAGGTCCGCTGGTTTTCCAGAAACTTCACATACCAGTGAGTGAGACAGATGCTGTGGTATAGTAGCTTAAGGACAAAGTCTCCTATGAGGCAAAATTCCCTGATGTGGTTTTATGCAGTCTGATAAAATACACATCAACTCGCTTCTGGGTGAAACCCTCTGGCAGTAGCTACCTCTGGGATGGCTTCCTAACTCACAACAATCTGCCCTTTTCTGGAAATGGGCCCACTACTGGGGGACAGGGTCAGGACAGTAGAGAGGCGTGAGAGGCAGACCTAAACCTGAGCTATCTGTACATGTGGAACAGCTGGCAAATGAGTGGAGAAGTCAGTGGGGGAGTCACCAGTGGTAGCAACCCAGACAGGCGGTGGGCTGCTGGCCTGGCTCTACTCTCCCAAGTCTCCGCTGTGCTACTGACTCCATGACATTCCCTTCACATCTTTTCAGAAAACTCATCTTCTGTGGGCTTATATAAGCTCAAGTTGGTTTCTGTCAAGAGCAATGAAAAGGATCCGAATATCCACTTTCAGCTCTTTGGGTTCTGCTCACTTAGGCCAGTTACCTCTCTCATAGGTCATAGCACCTAGGTCACATCTGGATGTTTCTCAACAGAAGTGCCTTTTTAAAATGACCTTCTAGCTCAACTTGACTAGTAGGCTCCTTGGAAGGGCGAGGTCAAGCACTTCTGTGTACTGTCTACATGCCTCATTTGGCACTTTGCCCAAATAATTTATGGTTCAGTGAAGGATCAGATAATCTACCCAGAATCGTCTGATGACAAGACAGTGACAGTCTGGGGTCCTTACTAGTGTTATGTAAGAAGCCTACTTTAAAGCACTTTTCTAGGATCTGTATCTCCGGACAACCCAAGGAATCCAGATTGCTGGATAAAACCCTATCTTTTTAGTCACTATGTTAATTACATGGTCACCCTGCTCAGGGCCTCACTCTTGGGATCTGTTGGCCTAGCATAGTAGAGGTGGAATCCATTTTTTATATTCTTGTCTGATAGTCTTTATAAATAACTGAATCTCTATCTTATCTAGGACATGCTATAATGGGGGCTCTTTCTTATTCCGACAGTATAGAAGAAAGAGTCTAATTTGGGTATTCTGAATGACTATGTCTATTTTTTCCCCTCTATTAGCCGTGTCTGATGTACAGTCAGAAAAAGAATCAGAAGTAAAATGAGGAGTTTAGAAGGGTCCAGGAGACCTGAAGTACGATATACTACTTTCCTATTACCATTTTCATATGAGGAATCGAGTCAGAATATTAGAAACAACTAGAATTTTACAAATGCGGACAAAAAAACCAAATAAGAGTGATGTGGAACTTATTCCATTGCTTAAATTATCACTGGGAGATAATCTTGGCTTTAGTTCAAAGCAACGGACGCTAAGTCACACCACATTACTGCATATTATTACTCTAATGCTGTGAATTTACTACTTCCCTGTGATAATGCTGAAATATCACAGGAGGGATCAGCGAGAGACTGTGGTTTGAGGGCTGGAACCCGGTCAGCTGTGGAACCCTAGGGAAGTCACATCCTTGTCTATAGAAAAAGGGGGAACCAACTGCCTCCAGGTTTATGGGGAAGTCTGCAGCTGTAAGCAGTGGGTTAGGATCTGCTCTGATGCTGTAGGAAAGAAACAAGACGTGCTAGAATCTTCTACTAGCCTCAGGAGAGGCCTATTTGACAGTCTTGTAGCAAAACCCCTCTGAGCTGGAGAAAAAAAGGATGGATAAAGATTGATGAAGAAGGAGAGAGGGAGAAAAGAACTTTTCACCAGAGTGGGGAGGGGACAGTGAGGAGGACACTCGGGCAGGGTGGGGGTGCTTGCTCTCTGGCGGGCCTGAAGACTATGCCCACACGTCACACGAGTCTGGACTGAAGCCTGAGAAATAACAAGAAAGCAGCGCCCCTTTCACTGAATCTTCTGGGCTAGTCCACATGGTCTACTTGTGCTGCGTCACCTGTATGTTTCTCAGAAGCTCAAGCATAGCAGGTGGTGAAAAAAGATAAAAAGCATTAGCCATCGTATCACGTGGGCGGTTCCGACTGCGTTCCACCAAGTATGTGAGGGGCAAGACAGGCGGTCCTGGGGTCTGTATGCCCCTTAGAGGGAGAAGGTCTCTCTGGGCCAAAAGGGATTTTAGGATTTAGAAATCAGGGCCTGTACACCAACCCTGACATGAAAACCAGCCACCTGTCCGGTGTTCAGTTGCAGAAACAGAGCTGTTCCAAGCTGGGAGACAAGCGGGCTGTGCCCGACACTTCGAGAGAGTCACGGCTTCCAACACAGTGTGCTTCCAGGGGGCTTACCAGTTAGTCCGATTGCCCAGGTCCTGTGACCCCCTGAATTCCTACTCGAGCAGCTGGTGTGAGCTTCCTAGCATCCCGACTTGTACTCATGCCAACTTTCCCTAACCTGGGATGCCCTTCCCCCTCCTCTCCACTCGGCCTAAACCGTAAGTATCCTTCAACTCTCCTCAAGCCTTCCAGCTTCCAAAGAACCTCTTCCAAAGGAATGTCTTGCTCTTGGATGAGTCATCCCTTTGGTGACCTGTCACTACCGCCCTGCAATACATCTTCACATTCTGTTTCACGGTATTTAAATATTGTGGTTAACTTTACCCAAACCAATTACCCTCAAGCTCTCATCAGGTCCACCCTGAGAGCATCAATCTCACTGCACCCAGAACAGTCAATGAGGCCAGCAGTTGAGAGCACAGGCTCTAGGCGAGAACCCTGGCCTCAGGCAGGTCGTCGGGACCAAAGGAACAGAACCTAAAAACCCAAACTGTTCCACATGCGACCGCTGAGGCAGTTTCAAGCGTGAACTTACAAATGCAGATGGCAGGAAAAGGACCCCAAGCTCATAGGAACGGATCATCAGCTGGGCACCGTTCTTCTCTAATGCTCCCCAGGCAGCCTTGGACAGATTCGCACTGCAGGGACAAGGACACAGAATGGGCTGACTCGGGAAGGCATTTCAGCGCAGGTCAAACTTTCACAGCTGCAAGAGCACTGGTCAAAAGCACAGAGAGCTGCAATCACATTCATTCAGTTTTTGGCAGAATTCTGCATTTTTTAGAAATAGAATGTTAAGTCTTGCTGTGCTATAATCTCTAAGATTTAGCTAATTGTTAATTTGGGATAGCTTCACCCTCATCTGCGTTTTCCCTGAGGACAGCTATTAAAATAATCATCTTTTCTTACATTTTTTTTTCTGTCCAAAGCCCTTTCTTTCCAGGACTCTGGTGTAGCCAGGGTGCCTGATTGTGTTATTTAACAAAGTAGCGTGTAAAAAAAAAATTATGTCAATATAATCTTATGTAGTATCTTAAGCTTCACAGTCCTTTTTTCTGCCTTTAGTTTGGGGCAGGAAGCACTAATTTTCAACCTAAAGAAAACAACTGAGGGCACGTGACTGGCATTTGTATCCATACAGAACTGGTGTTCAGAATCATGTTTTATATGGGCAGAGTGGTGGGTATGCCAAAAAATCACAGGATACAGGAGAAGGAACAAGCCTTGGAACTGACCAGACAGAGGCGCCAGGATGCCATGAGGACCCTGGGGACCACACCTAAGCTCTGCAGCAGCATCTCTAGAAACACTCTCCTGCCCCAAACCAGGCCGAGAACTCTCGCTCACCACTTAATTAACGTAAACCCATCATAAATAGGCTTTTCCTCAATGAGGCTCACCCAAATTCTATTTAAAAAAAAAAAAAAAAAAAATTTTTTTTTTAATGTTTTATTTATTTCTAGGAGATAGAGAGAGAGACAGCGCGAGCAGGGGAGGGTCAGAGAGAGAGGGAGTCACAAACTCTCAAACAGGCTCCAGGCTTGGAGCTGGCAGTCAGCACAGCCCGACGCGGGGCTTGAACCCACGAACCACGAGATCATGACCTAAGCGGAAGTCGGATGCTTAATTGACTAAGCCACCCAGGAACCCCATCTATTTTGTTTTTAGAATATGGAATATTCTCAGCTGTTTAGACCCTTAGAGCCCGATGTCACGGACAGAATTATTTCAAGATTCATTCACTGGCGCATCAAGTATTCTTCCGAAGCAGGTCCTGAACTGGCAGTAACAGGAATCAGACGATCAAAGAGAAACAGTTACTAAGTAAGGTGAAAAGTGTGATCTCTGTTCAAGATCCTATGGGAACAGATAAGGACTATGGAAATCAGACCTAAGAAAACTGTTCAAACAATTAAGCTATTAAAGTATATAGACTGACATCCCTACCTTCTTTAATGGACTATACTGAGAACAAGAAACTATACTTTGATGCTCAAGGCCACAATCATGGATACTGCTGGTCTGTGATGGATCACAAAGATGGAAAATGCAAGGGAAGTGGGAAAGTGATAATAAAGGAAAATGGTTTTCTTTTCAAGTCCAAGATGATAGCCTGCTTTTAGCTCTCTCACCATTAGTAACACATGGTGACCTCCTGGGCAAAGCCACAGGTCTAATGGCATAACCAATTAGTGAGCATGAGGTAGAAGCAGTCTCCCTTTGAATATACCACTTTCTATGTTAGTGCCTGACTGTTCCCTTGACTTGCAGCACCTAACTATCACAGGCCAGAGGTACTTTCTAGAAGGCCTATTTTCACTCTTCACTAGTCACATTTTCTTCCAGATTCCAAGACCTGAGGGCTTATTCCAAGGTAAAGATCAATGGAGAGGCTCAGTCGGTTAAGCGGCCAACTTCAGGTCAGATCATGATCTTATGGTTCCTGAGTTTGAGCCCTGTGATGACACCTCAGAGCTGGGAGCCTGCTTAGGATTCTGGGTCTCCCTCTCTCTCTCTGCCCCTCCCCGGCTCATGTTCTGCCCCTCTCTCTCAAAAATAAACATTAAAAAAAAAAAAAAAATCAATGGAGACTACTAAGATCCCTCTTCAGATGGTTTCCTCCAATTTCTACTTTGTATTTAGCTTTTAGTAGAATTTAAGCATCTGGAACCTTAAACTAGATCCTTTATACTTAGACTGAAAGTCACTTGTAAGCTGTTGGAGTGATATATCAGTATTTCTTGAAAGAGCATCTTTACTTTTTTTTTTTTTTAACATCTCAACACACTCTGGATCGCTGGTACACAGGACAGTCAGGTACCTATGTGTCCAGCAGAAGCCCAGGTGTCTTGTGGGGCACAAGGGACACCATGGGGTTGCCTATGACAAGCTCTTTTCCTGCCAAAATTCCAAAGGAGTCATAGCTTTTCTCTTCCACTCAGGATCTATGCCCACTGTCGGTCTTGGCTTCTTGCTGTGGCCATTGTTAGTACTCAAGTTCATTTCCACCTTGTTGTCTGTCCTTGTTCTTTGTTTCCTTCTGACTCCTACTGGATGTCAACAGGACATCCTCTCCCCTTCTCTCCCCTGCCAATGCTCAGGTCTATTTTGTTGTTGTCATTGCTGGTGGGTCAGATGATGTTTCATCAAAGAGGCTGGGTTTTTAACTTACTTATATTGGGAGTATGGAAGGATTCTATGTTTGTTTTTTTTTATTTATTTCTAGGAAAGAAAGAGAGAGAGAGAGCGTGAGCAGGGGAGGGTCATAGAGAGAGGGAGTCACAGACTGAAACAGGCTCTAGGCTCTGAGCTGGCAGTCAGCACAGAGCCCGACGCGGGGCTCAAACCCACGAACCGTGAGATCATGACCTAAGCGAAAGTCGGACGCTTAACCGACTAAGCCACCCAGGCACCCCCCCTTTTTTTTTTTTTTATGTTTTTTTTATTTCTAGGAGAGAGAGAGAGAGACAGTGTGAGCAGGGGAGGGTCAGAGAGAGAGGGAGTCACAGACTGAAACAGGGGAGTATGGAAGGATTCTAAAAGTTGGGGAATTCTGAAGGATGGGATTCTGGATGTTCAAAGTTGTACTGCCCAACAGAAACTGCCCGACCTGCTAAGTAAAGGTGAATAAAACAGTGGTTTCTGGGGCACAGGTGTGTGGCAGTCACAGTTCAACCAGAGAAGCAGAGCCACTAGAGAAGCGTGTACAAAATACATAGAATTTATAGGAGTTTGACTTAAATAATTGCAGGAGCTTTTAAAGCAGTCTCTATGGCTATCTTTGCCCTGATGCTGGAGTGTGGAGTCTGCAGGGCTGACAGAAGTCAGGGAAGATGGATATACAGTGCAGAGCCACAGGCTAGAACCACAGGCAAGGAGCTAAAGCCACAAGTAGAGACTAAAACCATGTCTATTCATGTTGCTTCTGGCATTGGGGATGTAGGTGTCCCGGGCCCTTCACCATGGAACTAAACACCCGCACACACCAGGTGAGGCCCAGGTATTAGAGAAGCTGAATCACGACCCTGCAGAGGGTGCAAAAGTCCCAAGTCCCACTGCTGCCTCTTTCCAACAAAGTGAGTTGGCTCAAAATGACAACATGCGGGTTATTAAAAAAAAGGGCTGCCTTCCCATCTACCCTGGAAATCTCCAACCACCACCCCCTCTGGGGTGTACCCCAACCAGAAACATACAAAAGAATTCTCTAAGACGTAGTTCAGCCTAAGCATACAGACACATTACGAAGCCACCACAGGATAGGATGTTTGTTTCTGAGCCTCCAGCTAAGTTATCAATGGTCAGTTATTCAACAAGGCAATTTATAGGCGCCTAATGACAGAGTCCATCTGGCGGGAGATTACTTTGCCATAGCTTGTAAAGCTCACTTGCTAATTAGAGACCTGATCTCAGTCCTTAACATGGACATTTTGTCCAAGACTTACACCTTTAAAAGTTTAAACTGACAATGTGTAACAAAGTTCCTAAAGGAAAGCTCAGGAAAGCACTGGGATTCCACTCAAGATGCATGGAGAAGGTGGGCAGGCCAAGGTTAAGAAAAGGTCCCAGGACCTCCAATCGGAAGAAAGGATCTCTGTCCTGGCTTCCCCACTAACAGCAACATGCCAAGGCACTCTTCTTACCAGGCATTAATTTCTTACCTATAGAACGAGGGGGCTTTGGTCCGTGAGGCCATAGTCCCTTTCTGGACAACAGTCTACAATGACTAGACACGTCCACATCCACATCTAACTGGACAACGGCCCTCCACCTACATATTCCAACCAGAAAGAATCCATGATTTTCCCTGGGAGCTCACTGCCAAGGAGTGTTTATCTCCATGTTCATGATAATGAGCCGGGGAGGCAGCCATGCACCAATGGAGAAGGGAGCAATGAAGGTGACCGCTGGGACAATCCGGCTTCCTGCATCTTTAAAAGCTTAAAATCTGCCACCTCCAAGCCCGGCCTGAGCATTTGGTATGCGCGGCTCACTGAGTTTACTTTCAAGATTCAGAACTTTTTATTCATGTATTTTCATTTTTACTTGAAGTACTGTTGACACATCAATTTTGAGTATACAACAGTGATTTGACAATTACATACACTACAAAATGCTCACTATAAGAAACAGGAGTTTAGATTTTGTTAGAAGGTGTACAAAAACTCAAGAATGACTATTATGGGAACATGTATCACTGAAAACATTCTTTCATCATTAGCCCTTAATCTAGGCAGCAGCTGCAAGGAGTGCAGACACAGTTAACAGACTGAGCTTTTAGCCACACATCTTAGACAGCTGGGGGCGGGAGGGGGGTATGGATACTTTCACAGACAGATGCAATAAACAGACTGTTGGCAGTAGATGTGAGAGATGTAGACAGAAAGGCTGTGACAAGGGGGGAAAATGACGAACTCTAGCTAATGTTGCTGTCATTCCCATCCTAAAATTCTGCAAGCAGTATGCCTGTCCCCCCACCCCACCCATCTCTGTTTTGCATTTGCTGGTTTTCTTGTATTGCCCTTGGGCTCTGTTGCTTTCTACGTACCAAAAAAGTTTCACAAGTGATATGGAAAGATATTCACTGTGAAGACTCAAGTTGTATATAGGTATACACAAGGAAATAAGTTTTAATTTTGAT